GGGGGCGACGTTTTCCCCTCTTTCCTCAAGGAAGTCCCAGGGACAGCCCCGGAGAATCAGACTCAGGCCTGGACTCAGACCCAGGTTCCTTCACTTCCCTGCTGTGCGACCTTGGACAAATCACAGAGACTCTCTGAGCCGTGGCTCCCCCATCTATAACACGGGGACCTCAGTTCGACATTGTGTGGTTGCTGGGAGGGTTAAATGAGAAGGAATTTACAAAAGCTCCTAGCCCAACGCCTGGCACAGCGACGTGAGTTTCCTTACTGGGAAGCCTGTAAGTGATGGATGCTGCTTCCCAGCTCCTCCTGGATGTATCAAAGACTCTTGAGATTTTGAAGGTGGGGATGTTATTCAACCTCACCCATAAAGCAGGAGTCACCAGGTCAGATCGCTGGCAGGTACTCAGTTGGTTCTGCTTGAATAGCTCCAGGCATAAGGAGCTCACTATTTCACAAAACATCCACAGATGCACCTCCAGCTCTGGGAATCTTCTAGAAGGGGCTGTAATCTTCCATCTTAACCCCAAATCCAGCCTGTCCCTGACTGGGACTGCCTGAAACTGGCTTGAAAATGAGGCTGAAAGAGAGCTCTTCAAATAGACCAAGTGAGGGATGGGAATAACGGCCAGGGACGGTGAGGATGGGGCAGCCAGGGAGCAGGAAGGGAACAGGGAGGGGGCCAAAGTGAGAACTGGGCCCTCAAAACTCCCGGGTCCTGTCCGGGCTGGCCACAGTCTTCCACAGGAGGTGTGTGTATCTGCCTGTCTCTCCGTCTACTTCCAGGCAGGGCTGGGAGCCAGGAGCCCTGGGTTCAGGCCCCAGCTCAGCTTCTTCCACCCCCAAACCATCAGTGTGACCTTGGCGGGGCGGTGGGGGGGGGGGTCCACTTCCCTCCCTGGGCTTTGGTTTCCACTTTTGTAAAATAAGGGCATCAGACCAGTGATTTAAGTGCCAAGCCTTCTGTCTGAACTGAAACGCTCTCCTGCCAATGGCTGTGTCAGCCTGCCCCCCACCTCCAGCCCAGCGTGCCGGGAGCCGTGGGGCCCCTCAGTGTCCGGTTTCATGCCAGAGACCCTGTCTCTACCCCTGTCCCCCTCTTTCGTGTCTAGTACCTCTTTCACATCTAGGGCTTTTGAGGGTTCTATCACCCCATTTTACAGGTGAGGAGATGGAGGCATAAGGAGGTAAAGTCACTTGCTCAAGGTCACAGAGAGCCATTCAAAATTCAGGACTCCTCCTCTGTGCCCAGGACAGCAGCGGGACTCAAGGGCATCTTTTTTCAGGAGAGTCATCAAGATCTTGAATGGCCAACAGTTCTCGATACAGATGTAGAGTCTGCCCGGGGTGAGGGTGAGGGGGCTGCCCAAGGTCACACAGCAGAGCAATGACAGATCGGGGTCCTGAACCCAGGCTCCCTGCCTCCCAGGCCTCGCCTAGCCCAGGGGACAGCAACACAGGCCTGACCTCCTGCCCTGCCCTGGGATCTCCGAGATTAGAGCCCTTGTTCTGCCTCGAGGCCCTGCCTGGCTGCTCCCGGAAGCCCCCAACACCTGGGACTGAGGGGTTAGAGTGAGCAGGAAGACAGGAAAGAAAGTTGAGGGTTGGCCGCTTGCCCCCCAGCCCTCTGTCCCTCCCTCTCCTTCTCTCCTCGTGCAAGGGGAGCGGTGGTGATGTAATGCACTCGGCTTTGGTCCCGATGCCAATCTCAGAAGAGAGACGACAGATTGCGTGAGCCAAATTTGGCATCCTAGGGGGAGAGGCATGAGAAGTGGAGATGTGGAGGAGACGAGCGAGGAGCCTGGGGAGGCAGGAGACGGCCCCCTGCCCAGCAGACCCCGGAATGCCTCCCTCCTTCGATGCCGGCCCCCACCTCCGCCCTAGCCCACCTGGCCTCGGGGCCTCCCCTCCTCACTCTGGGAGGCCGGCCTGGCTGCTGCTGGGACCCTCCAGGCCTGGTGCTGCCAGTCCTGCCCCCCCGACACACCGCTCCAGCTCCATTTCCCACCGCCGCTAGTCTCCTGGTTACCATGCTGCTGGTTGTCATGTCGCTTACATGTCCTCGTGACTCAGTGGTCCCCGCAGAGGGGCCCCCTCCTCCTCACACCCCCCTCGGCACACGCCCCCGCCTCCCCCAGATCCACATTAAGAACCAGCCCGCCCTGTAAGCCTACACTGTTCCTCCTCCCCTTCCCTCTTAGATCCTAAGCTAAGAAATTTTTTCACGGCATCTCCTAAAGCTACTTTATTCTCTGCTCCGCAAATGTCTGTTAAGAACCTACTGTGCTCCAGGCTTGTGTCAGCTGCTTCCAGAGACCTCACATGGTCTGTAAATCACTTGGCAACCCAATGAAGTCAGTACCATCATCCCCACTCTCCAGTTGAAGAAACTGAGGCTCAGAGAGGTCAGGCCAGCTGCCCAAGGTCACCCAGCAGAAATTCAAGGCCAGCTTTGTCTGCTCCCAGTCACCCCAACACTTTTTATGGGAGAGGAGCTTCTCTTTCAAGGGTGACCCAAAGGTTCCTGAGGAATAGCTCCCAAGCCCCAGCTCCCCCCTCTCATTCTGGGTACTCCCCTTCTTGGTCAGCCTTATTTCAGGCCATATTCCCCTCTCCCCATTAGCTGTTCATCTTTCCGAAGGTAAGATGAGTCCTTACTCCCATGTGTTCAGCGCTTCCGCAGCCTGAACAGTCCTCAGCTCATCTGAGCGCAGGCGCCCCCTCCTCGCCTTGGAGGTCAGTGGGACAGGGAAGAGTGTCCTCATTCCACAGATATGGAAGTTGAGGGTCAGGGAGGAGCGTGACTTGTCCACGTGCCGGCTCCTCAGCTATAGCCGAGCTGATTTCTAGAAGCCTAAATGGAGGATATACAAGGCCCACTGCCCAGCCTGGAAAACCCCAGAAAGAGCCCATCCTCCCAGTGGAGAACAGAGTAGAATATTCTAGGTTCAGCCCTCCAGACTCCCATTTGGCTATGGGTCAGCTCAACGGCCAACAGCCTTTGCTCCTGCCATGTTGCACCTCAGCCCGTATCCTACCACCATCTTCGACGTTTTGTTCCCCTCATCCCAGGCCGAGCCAGGACCACCGTTTGGCTCTCAGGCCCCCCAAATCCTGCCAACAGCTCCAAAAAGCCCCAAAGCCCTGGAGCTCACAAGACTGGATGTGGGGGAGAAGTGGAACAGACATTTTACACACACACACACAGGTCTGGCTCCTCTCTGGGCCTTGCATGCGTGGCTCTTAGGCCTCCCTCCCTCAGCTCCCCCGTTCTCTCAACCTGCTTCTTGACATCCTGCTTCTCTTGAGGCCCTCACCTGCCAACTCAGCCAGGCCACCCTCCACCTGTCTCTCCCCCTCCCCCACCCTCTCCCCATCCCGGAGCCTAGGCTCTGGGAGCAAAAGTGTCATGTAGATGCTGGTCGGGGGGACACTGCGCACCGGCACGGTGGCAGGGAAGTTTCCCTACTCCAGGGCTCGTTCAGACCTCTCT